AGTCACAAATTCCTACAAGTTACAGCGCTAGCAGTTAACGCAATACACAAACTGAAGTCAGCCGAGCCGCCGTTTACACTATCATTATGTAATCATTACTTTTTCACTGAATCTCTAAGATTCCTTATCTTATCTCCAATTAACTTTCCTCCATAAACTAATACTCACTTTTGCAGAGAAATATTAATTCGAGCTCTTTTTTTCGACATTGTTTTAACACGTTTTCTTCAATTAATTATATACTCCGCAAATCTCTTCTTACAACTGTTGTCTTATTGATTCGCTTTTAACCTAATTTTTTCATACACTGTTCCATATTTGGTCATTAAATCTATACTGCTTTTTAAACGATTTCGATATTTTCTCGAATTTTTTTCCAATATATCATCCACTATAATCTAATGAAAATCATCTCGACACTTTTTAATGTTGATAATCTTCATTTAATTAATCTTATTCCCGTATAATTAATGAGGCCAAAATGTACAATATTTTAACCCAAACTCGAACGGGATTTTATTTGTCAGAGTTCCTAATGAATTAATTTGAGACCCACATATATCTTATATCGGTTCAACGTTTAAGGAATATCATCTCCACAGACACATGCACAGATTTGACATGCTAAATTATTTCAAATCAGATATTAATATAAAACTTTAGTCGTTTTGTTAATCAATTTGTGTTAACTTCGGGATGGAATCCAACTCATGAGAATTAATAAAAATAGATGAACACATGTGGATACTTATAACTATATATATAAAGATACGTCTCGCCGTCTATTTTGAAATATGGCCTAAGTGAGAAGTTACATGGAATGACCAAGTGACTAATTTCCAATATTAGCTAATTGTATAGGAATTCTTCCAAACGCTTCCACCAGTCTACTCAAGTAAACAATATGAGCTACGATTAAGCTTAGTTTGTTAGCAAATATTCACAAGTAGAAAAATATGTTATTTATAAGAATACATACACATTTATAAAAATAATTAACACACATACCCCCAATCCCACTAAATCCGCGGACATATTGGGCTCCTTCCTGAGATTTATCTGTAATTATTTCAAGAGTCGTCCCAAAGGTTCGATAGTGGAATGCAAGCCAGTCAAGTAACAACTGGCTTTCTACAACCTCCATATCAAGACCCGAGGTTTTATCAACAAAGTGGGATCGCTCTCGCTCTTGGTCAGGACGCAGATGAATTATTCTTTGCTCTGATTATAAAATAATACATATAATGTTAGTATTCTTAGTACAAGTATGAAATTTAAAAAAGCAAAACATTTGAGTGGATATAATGCACACGTTTTAGATAGTATCCTATAGAAAACATAAAAAGGTGCAAATTAAGTGGCAATGAATCTAAAAATATGAGTTCAGTTACAATTATAGAAATGTATAAAGATAGCCTTGA